ATTTTTGATAAAAGTCACATACTGCAACTTTAAATTTGCTTTTGAATGAATGTATCAGCTTTTATACATTTTCAAAGTTACATAAAGAAATCAGACATTCAGTTGTTCTTGCACAATAATTTTCATGTCATGTGACCCACTGACACAAAACTTATGTTAAACTACTCTACTAGACCTGACAGAGGAGGCACCCTCATTTATTTCTCATTTTAAAACATTTTCTAATTTTACATAATTTATTTGTTTCAAAATCTTGATTTTCACTCGGTAATTAGAAAAAGCTTTAAAATGAGAAATAAATGATGGTGCCTTGTGTGTCAGGTCTATTAGAATAGTTTAACATTAGTTTTGTGTCAGTGGGTCAAATGATGTAAAATATATAAATTTTTGTTTCTGAAGAGTGTTTTTTTTTTTTTTCATTCAACCTTTATTTAGACAGGTTAGTTCCACTGAGCCTCAAGGACTCATTTACAAGAGAGATCTGATTTCAACAAAGAATGATGACAACAGCGACAACAATTGACAATCATAAAGAGGCAAATAGTTTTTTTGTTTTTTTTACAAATTAAAATAAGATGGGGAAAAAAAAGTTGCAAAAACAGCTAGATTATAAGGCAAATGTAGAAAACTAAAAACAGGAACATGTCTGCGTTGGTCCTTGCCAGGAGTCCAACAGATTTTTAAAGCCACTTTAGAGAGGTCAAGGTCGAGAGCTTCAGATCCTTTGCAAGATATCCCAAGCTGTAATTTGTTGACGGTCCCTAAGCAAAGCATTACATCTCAGAGGAGGGGCAGACTGAGCTCAGCTACGTATATGTCTCCCCCACCTCCCCACCACAGGGAGCTCTTTACGGCTTGCAGGAGGCACAGCTGCTGCCTCTGCAGATTCACCTCAGCTTGCAAGTAGGAACTTGTCTGAAAAGCCAGCAGGGAAAATTCTTCAGGGCTTTTAGCCTCGGAACCAGCAGCACTAAAAAGCAGCAGTTTAAAGAGCCGAACACCGTCAGTTTTCCATCAGGGTCCAACAAAAGGAGACCCGAACCACACAAGGTCTGCCTGCAGTAATGAAATGTCTTCAGTGCCCGAGTCACATCATTTAGCACCAAACACCAGCTAATTTTATTTTCTTAGAGGGAATTTTTATGTTTTGTTAAAGTTGTACTTTGTGTGGGAAATATAAGGTCAAAACTACACTATGAGGAGTTAAAAGACAAACTTGTTTCTAGTCTGCTTTATTAATACTTTATTATTATTCATTTATTCCATGAGTCACATGAAGGCAAAAGAAGGCTCGAGGGCCAGAAATGGTCCATTGTGTCATCTCAGCGGACCCTCAACATCCTCAAATAATAAAACAGCTTGAAGACGACAAATAAAAACATGATTTTATTCATTAATCTTAGGTTAAAGCAAGGTTTGTGTGTTTATGTTTTTAATTAGAAGAAACTTTTTATTATTAGCCTATAAAACGACGCAGATTGTCATATACATGTTGTGGTAGTAATACATAGCACAGTCTGGTATACTTACCAAGTATTTGCATGGTACTTAGAGGGACCAGGTTAATTATGAAGTGACTTGTATTTCCAGTGTACGAGTCAGGTAACGACCTATTACTGGGTACTTACATGATACTTACAGTATTTGTACCTGTTACCTACAAGTTACAAACTGGGTGCGCGCCTAGTTACTGAATGTCCAGCTGGTACTTATAAGAAAAGTACTTGCGCACCTTAGTGGGCACAGCCCCCAGTATCTACAAAGTAACTATACGCACTTATCTGGGCTGTAATTGATAAGTATCGGGCTGTATTATGTATTTCTCCTGAATTTTAGTTAGTTTTCTTTTTATGATTGTTTAATTGAAGCATTATTCAGTGAAATATACCCCTTTATGTCCACATGTTTTTAAAACACAATATACAAATGCAAACACCTGTATTTTGCATAATTTTACTAGGAGCATGTGGTTAAACAAGTGAAAAAAGCACAAATTCAAACAGGTTTGTTTGGTGTTCTGTGTCACTTTAGAGCTCCTTCTTGTCTTCATGAGCTGAAAACTAAAAACCCGATTCCAAAAAAGTTGGGACACTAAACAAATTGTGAATAAAAACTGAATGCAATGATGTGGAGATGGCAAATGTCAATATTTTATTCGTAATATAACATAGATGACATATCAAAAGTTTAATCTGAGTAAATGTAACATTTTAAAGGAAAAATATGTTGATTCAAAATTTCACAGTGTCAACAAATCCCCAAAAAGTTGGGACAAGTAGCAATAAGTGGCTGGAAAAAGGAAATTGAGCATAAAACGAACAGCTGGAAGACCAATTAACACTAATTAGGTCAATTGACAACATGATTGGGTATAAAAAGAGCTTCTCAGAGTGTCAGTGTCTCTCAGAAGCCAAGATGGTAAGAGGATCACCAATTCCACCATTGTTGCGCAGAAAGATAGTGCAGCAATACCAGAATGGTGTTACCCAGCATAAAATAGCAAAGACTTTTAAGTTATCATCATCAACCGTGCATAACATCATCAAAAGATTCAGAGAATCTGGAACAATCTCTGTGCGTATGGGTCAAGGCCGTAAAACTCTACTGGATGCTCGTGATCTCCGGGCCCTTAAACGTCACTGCACCTCAAACAGGAATGCCACTGTCAAGGAAATAACAGGATGGGCTCAGGAATACTTCCAGAAAGCATTGTCAGTGAACACAATCCACCGTACCATCCGCCGTTGCCAGCTGAAACTCTACAGTGCAAAGAGGAAGCCATTTCTAAGCAAGCTCCACAAGCTCAGACGTTTGCACTGGGCCAGGGGTCATTTAAAAGGAGTGTGGCAAAATGGAAGACTGTTCTGTGGTCAGATGAGTCACGATTTGAAGTTCTTTATGGAACACTGGGACGTCATGTCTTCTGGACCAGAGAGGACAAGGATAGCCCAAGTTGTTATCAACGCTCTGTTCAGAAGCCTGCATCACTGATGGTATGGGGTTGCATGAGCGCTTGTGGCATGGGCAGCTTGCATGTCTGGAAAGGCACCATTAATGCAGAGAACTATGTTCAGGTTCTAGAACAACATATGCTCCCATCTAGACGTCATCTCTTTCAGGGAAGACCCTGCATTTTTCAACACGATAATGCCAGACCACATTCTGCAGCAATCACAACATCACGGCTACGTAGGAGAAGGATCCGGGTACTGAAATGTCCAGCCTGCAGTCCAGATCTTTCACCTATAGAGAACATTTGGCGCATCATAAAGAGGAAGGTGCGACAAAGAAGGCCCAAGACGATTGAACAGTTAGAGGCCTGTATTAGACATGAATGGGAGAGCATTCCTATTTCTAAACTTGAGAAACTGGTCTCCTCTGTCCCCAGACGTCTGTTGAGTGTTGTAAGAAGAAGGGGGGATGCCACACAGTGGTAAAAATGGACTTGTCCCAACTTTTTTGGGATTTGTTGACGCCATGAAATTTGGAAACAACAGATTTTTCCCTTAAAATTATACATTCTCTCAGTTTAAACTTTTGATCTGTGATTTGTGTTCTATTCTGAATAAAATATTAGATGTTGGCACCTCCACATCATTACATTCAGTTTTTATTCACAATTTGTTTAGTGTCCCAACTTTTTGGAATCCGGTTTGTACTTCATGCAAATATGTAATTCATCCCTTCTAAAGTAAAACAGAAAGCGACACCATTCTATGAAAAGTGATGGAGTCACGGCTCTGAAAGTTTGTCAGAATGAAAACAGCTGACTCGTCTGTTACTTAGACAACCTGTGGGCTGACGGTCATCATCATCACTAAAAGTCCTCGAACATAAACTCACACATTGTGACAATAAAACAGGCTCGTTTTGACCAGTACCTCCTGATTTGCGTAACGTTTATTTATGAAAACCCTCTTTGTGAGAGTAGCGTGACCTGGAACAGTAAAAGCAGACGTTTTACATGTTTATTACTGCAACGTTTAGATCTGATTGGATGGTGGCGGTCGTTCAGTAATCACAGAAATGGAATGGCGATAGCTTTTATGGTTTAATAGCGTCATATAAATTTACCAGCAATCTTTCACAGTTCAATGTGTCTCAGAAGGATAGTTTAGCAGGAACTTTGTAGCTTTTTCTTCTCATCACATTTATGAAAATGATCTAAATCAAGCGTTCAAGACCTGACTATATTTATCAAATAAAGGTTTGATCAATAAAAATCTGTCAAAATTCTCCGTAACTCATATAAGGTGGGCTGAATAATGTGAGCAATAATTGGCAACATATCTGTATGTGTTTGTTTGAGTGTTAGCAAAATATCTCATAATACACTGGACAGGTTATAATGAAACTCAGATAATATTTATTAGATTTATAATGTTTCAAGTCAATGTATATAAAATGTATAGCTGTTTAATGTATGATATTTAGTAACAACATGAAGTGTAGAGTAAAAAAATAAAACAAAAAGATCTGTATAACACAAACGACCATAGCCTTTAAACTTTTCTCAAGTTAAATTTGCATGTGCAACCTGATGTCTTCATATATCATGTAATTTGCATTTTTAATTGTATGCTTGCATTTTGTATAATCTTTGAGGCTTTTATTTTACTATATTTTAGTTAAGATAGAGAAAAAGTACCGGTAATTAAAAAAACATAAGTAATATTTACTTTGAGAATAATACATATTACAGCTGGGTGGCATTCTAATGCCTCTGCCTTCATCGTATCCAAGTTTTTTTTTTTTTTTTTAACACAGTTAATGTTAACTTTATATATTTGATTTTGTGTCTTTATGTTTTCTTTGATGTGAAGCACCTTGTGATTTTTTTGTCGTTTTTTACTTACTGCTTTATAATATAAACTTATAACTTATTATTGTTGTTTTATTTGATTAATATCTGTTTGTTCTGATTAATAAATTTACCAGTTTGTCTTTTTATGTAAAATAATAAATAAACATTTGTGTCTTTACCGCCACCTGCTGGTCACAACTGAACCCTGCAGTCAAGATGGCGGCGCCCGTCAGGACGATGTGCTGCTCAGGTGAGACAAAGGTTAACCACTAAATGTATTTTCTTTTAGGTGAGCATGAGTTCAAAACTAGATGTTTTGTAGCTCTTAATATATGTTTACATTAGTGTCGAATTTTATCGTTTATTATTGCCAAGAACGAGCGTGTAGCTTCAATGCTAACGCTGATGCTAACTGTTTTGGAAGCGACGGGCTGCAGCTTTTGATTCATCTCTTCCTGATTATGAAAGTCGCGACAAAAGCGTGTCTACTCACTGACCTTCGTTTGTTTTTCAAGTGTTGAGACTCTCCAGCAGACAGTTCAGCACAACGCGTGCAGTACAAATTGGAGGGGAATGGAGAAAAGAGTAAGTATACTGTTGACGTCCCTAGCCAAACTTCATTTAAACTTTAACGACTTGTAAGAAAATGTGATTTAAAAAGCTTCAGAATTTGATTGCTGCATTTCTTCTCCTCTCACTTCATACCCAGCAAGTTTATTATAATTCGGCTTAATATGTTCATGTATTTTTTGGGGGGAAACACCCAGATGTCATTGAAAACCCCACTAAACTTCACATGTTTGAATGTTGATTAATCAGATCTTTAAAAGTTAAGTCTGGTCCTCTGGACATTCAAGAAAGAAAAAAAAAAGAGGCATCACATACAAATTTAACTTGAGAAAAGGCTATGGTTGTTTGTGTGATATAGATCTTTTTTAATTACAGCACTTTTTTTGTTTTGTTATTTGAATGTCCAGAGGACCAGACTTAACCTTTTTAGATTTTTTCTACCTTGATTATTAAAGCATGCATCAGGATTGATCAGATGTTTTTGTACAAAAGAAATTCTTGGATTAGATTCTTGTTCTGACTCATGCTGGACGCTGTTGCATTATTAAACACACAGTTGCAAAAATGACACATGGAGAAAGAAGTTGTCTTAGTTTTTCTTTTTTTTACAATCAAAGATGCATTATAATTAAAATGTGAAATTATTAAGAAAAATGAAGTTAAATTCTGCAGAGGTACTAATCTGTGTGCTTTTTCGTGCAGACATGGACTCGCCAGAAACGGGTCAGAATATGGACCTATGACAGATCTTCCTGATTGGTCTTTTGCAGGTAGTTTTATTTTTATTAGTTTAGTAAAGAGCAAGCTTTTTATGAAAGTGTGCATTAGTTATCTTGCAGCAATAAGGTTTAATTACTTAGCCAAACATTTTTTTCTCTTTTCTTCCAGTGAATGAAAGTGTTACCTTTGTTTTAAATTATGTAAATGATGAATTATTGTGTTGTGACGTTGAATAAATGTACATATTGGTCACACTGCCATCTCTACTTACACACGACTTATAATTCACTGATCATTAAAAAAAAAGTACGGTATATCAATTTGTAGCACATTTTTCTTCACAGTTTTGATCACATCAGGTGAAATGTGTGGGGTTTGTGTTCACAGATGGACGCCCAGCTCCTCCAATGAAGGGTCATCTGAGAAGGAGGCAGGAGAGAGAAGTTTTAGCTGTAAGTTCCACAACAGAAACTGTTTTCATCACTCGTTCATCGTTGAATAACCCCTCGCACTTATGAGATATGTGTTGTTTTTATCAGAGGCGTATTGTGATGCTGAACTCTGAGATGGACAAAGGGATGGAGGCGTGGAAGGAGAGGCAGGAAGAGGCCAAACGGACGGAGGAGTACAAACGGTCGCTTTTACTCAAACCCAAAGGGAAACTATTAATAAAGCAGAAATCCAAGAGTTAGGAACACACATCCACGTTCTATTTCCTGTTTCCGTACCAGCTACTTCCTGGTTAATGTCTTGGGAGGGCACACCATCACGGGACACAGATTATCACTTAAATCACATTGTGATATCCTTAATAATGTATTTATCCAATGTTTTGGCTTTTCTCTGACTTTATTTATCAGAGGTTCATAAAATAAATGTTTGATTCATATTGTTTTAGAGGCTGTTTAATAAAAATCACAAGTCTAGTGCTGCTCGTTGAGTCAGTCGCTCTGTTTCCACTAGATGGCATCGAGTCTCTTATTTGCAAACCGTCCTGGAAAACTAATTTCTACTCTTTAAGAGTTTTAAGCTGAGGAGGAGCTGAAGAACACAAAGCAGCTCTGATGCAGGACCCGACTGTTTTGTGTCAGTGATGGTTTCTGTAAAATCCAAGATCATCTTTGAATCCGTTCCAGACTCGGTGAAACACTTTCTGTTATGATGAGATCTAATGAGATGATTTGTTGTGGAGTCTCAGGATAAAAGGAAATGTTCTCTGCTCGTTGTGTTCAAGCAACAGTGTTTAATCTTTCTTCTGCTAAAATAACCACAGCAGTGATTGTTTCTGCAGCACGAGGTCTCCAGAGATGATTCACTGCAGTAGGCAGACAGTTTAATCCCCTACTTTATCTCACCATAATTTTTTACACATCATAGAATCTTAATAAAGTGATTAAAGCACATTCTAGAACTAAAACGGTGCAAAAAAACAAAACACATTTATTAATTTTAATGGCAAACGTTTGTGAACCATTTAAGATTTTTCAATTTCAAGGAACAGATGTTAAAGTTAAAAAATAAAACCTGTTGGAAAACAGGAATGGCCCTTTTTCCATGAATGAAACACGCAGGTGGTAGTATCAGGGTACGGGCCTGAGCTGCCAGTTTGGAGTCTTTTAGGCTGAAACAACTTTGACTTAATTCATGGAGTTTTACCTGTAAAGCAAAAACAAAATTATCACATATTTAACATTTGAGCCAAAATGGGTAATTAATCCTGTAGAACAAACTAACTTTAGTGAACCAGTGATTATAACTGAGGAGTGACTCGCTGCCATGAAAGGTAATCATGTACCTGCCTCTGTTTATGTGTTCACCTCTGTCAGCAAAATATCTCATGACCCACTGGATGGGTTTTATTGAAACTAATCCTTACCAGCTCAAACATCACTCTGTCATTTTACAGATGCTGAGCTAAGATTAGACGTGGTCGAAGCTGAGAGTCATGCCCATCTCATGCTTCAAGAACACCTTCACCTAAAACTTTACCACGGGGCTGTTCAACTGGCGGCCCAGGGGTCAAATCAGGCCCACGGATGAATTCGATTTGGCCCACCAATGGGTTCATGTTTAAATAAAACTAGATTTTAAATCATGAAACAAACTTAATGACAATAACATTCAGAGTTTCTTTATTGTCGTTCCACCATTATGTACACAGGGTCCCAGTTACAGCCAATGATAAAATGTAAAAGGAAAAACAGTAATAAGATCTAAGATATGAACTAAGAAAAACATCAGCTAAAAATATGCTAAGCACTAATAGCATAAAAAGATTATGTCGAACAGCAGCACAAACATGAGTCTGTGTGAGCAGATGAGCACGCATGAACAGCAACATGAAACAGATCAGCAGCAACATGATGTGATTTTTTACAGCGATTATTCTGGTTAGAGATTCATGAGTAACAGCCTCAGGGTAGAAGCTGTTCCTCAGTCTAGTGGTTCTACACTTAATGCTCCTCAACCTCCTTCCTGAGAGAAGCAGGGCAAAAAGTGTGTGCTGGGTGAGTGGAGTCCTTCTTGATGCAAGTGGCCCTCTTCCTGCATCTGGAGGTGTAGATGTATGTGATGGTGGGGAGACTGACTCCAACAGTCTGTGCAGCCTTCACCACTCTCTGCAGAGCTTTTCTTTCTGCAGCTGTGCAGCCTCCATGCCACACGTTGATGCTGGAGCACAGGGTGCTCTCCACTGCACACCTGTAGAAGGAGGTGAGGACTGAGCTTCCCAGACCGACTCGTCTCAGCCGTCTGAGGAAGTAGAGTCTCTGATGAGCTTTCTTGATCAGGCTGGTGGTGGTGTTGCTCCAGCTGAGGTTGTTATTCAGGTGTACACCCAAGTACTTGTAGCTGGAGACCACTTCCACTGTGGATCCTGGTGGTAGGTGGGTTTGTTTCTTCTGAAGTCCACAACCATTTTCTTTGTCTTCTTCACATTGATGTGAAGGTTGTTCTTCCTGCACCAGCTCTCCAGGTGTTCCACCTCCTGCCTGTAGCTGGACTCATCATTGTTTGTGATGCATCCCACCACCACTGTATCATCTGCAAACTTTACAATGTGAAAGCCTGAATGAGTAACTGCACAGTCGTACGTGAGCAGAGTAAACAGGAGAGGGCTCAACACACATCCCTGAGGGGAGCCTGTGCTGAAGGTTATGGTGGAGGAGGAGAAACTTGTGGATCCTCACTAGCTGTAGTCCGTTTGTTAAGAAGTCTAGTACCAGTTGCAAATGGAGGGGCTTAGTCCTAGTGTGAGTAGTTTGTCGCCTTGGGGAGCGATTGGGGGTGGGGCTGGTGTTCCGGTTCTCCCTGGGTTGTTTGGATCTTTTGATCAGGGTTCCTGGTTGCAATGGCCGGCCCTTTGGCTGGGGTGGCTGCCGGGTTCTGGCAGGAGATCGGCTGTGGTTGTGTCTGTGTTCATTGGTGGTGCATGGTGGCGGTCGGGGGCGTGGCTTCACTTTGACGGGGTGCTGGTTGGTCGACCTGATGTGACATTAGTGTGGGGGGTGCTGTGTGTGTGTGTGTGTGGGGGGGGGGGGGGGGGGGCATGGGTGGTGTGCCGGGGCCTCTCCAGGCCTGTGTTGTGGGGCTGTAGGGATGCCTGATAATTGGTGCGCTGTGCCGGCCTTCCTCAGCTGCTGCTCCCTGCTGTTCTGGCCCCCGGCCTGGGGCCGGCTTGCAGTCGCTGTTGGGTGGGTGGGGCGCATGGACGACCCAACAGAGGCTCTGTCGGGTCGTCTCTGTGTGCCTGTTTATGTCTCAGGTTGGGTTATAGGTGGTCCCCTCTCTTGGATCAGTTTTGGCCCCCCATTTGGTGTGTCGTGCTCCCCTCTGGTGGTGGGCCCCCCTGCCGCCGGTGCATTGGCGGCTCTCAGCAGCTGGGGCTGGGTGGTGGGGTGTGTGCGGGCCCGCCCTGGTGGCTGCCTGCCTGGGTGCCCTGGCTCTGTCGGGCCTCTGTTGGGGGGTGGTATAACCTCGGGGCTCGGTGGCCATGGCCGGATCTACTCTGGAGGGGCGGGTTGCCGGCGGGGCCTGTTGACTCGTCGCTACGGCCTCCTGGGGTTTCTGCATTGTGGTTGCTGGGGCTCGCCCGGGGCTTCCCTTTGCTTCTCTCTCTTGGGGGTGCGGGTGTCCCTGTTGGGAGACTCCCGGAGTTCCGGGCTTGGGGGCTGCTGTGTGTCTGTGGTTCCGGTCTTCCCTGTGTTACCATCATGTCCTGTGGGGACGGGTCTGTGGGTCCCCACATCCACTATTGAACATTTTTATGGAGAAACCTTATAGTGACAAGCATGCTCACACAGGTGTTTAGATCCAGGTGTTTATCAGATACACACTCAGTTGGGTTGTGGTGGCCACTAAATATATCTTGTGTTACCATGTACTGTATAAAATACTTTCTAATGATGTTATAAGTATCATTATATAAGTTGTTTGTTGTTATGGTTTCACGGTTTTGTCTTGTTTTTTTCACTTTCTGCAGGTCTAGAGGCAGACTTCTATGGTGTTGATTTGTGTTCTCTTCATCCCTCTCTCTCTCCTCTATTCCTATCTCCTTCTTTACCTTTTAACCCTTCTCTCACTTTTCTGCTTTGTTATCGTCTTTGTTTTTCATCCCCATGTCCATTACATCTGAAACAAACCCAAAGCAAATTCTAATAAAATTTAATTTATATATCAAATGGAGCGTTAAGGCCAGCCATAATGCTCTGCTTGTGAAAGTAAATCTGTTGGGCATCACTTTGACACTCAGACAGTAATTCTAAGTGTCACAATGCCGGACAGGACAAAGGAGAAAAAAAAAAGTTTGTCCATCAGGATTTGGGGGATCATTGTGTTGAAGGCGGATGTGAAGTCCACAAAGAGCATACGGACGTAAGAGTCTTTCTGCTCCAGCTGGTTGAGCGCAGTGTGGACCACAGAGGAGAAGGCATCCTCTGTTGATTGGTTCTCACGGTATGCATACTGATGAGGGTCCTCGTTGATGTTGATGGTTGTTTTGATGCGAGTCATGACCAGTTTTTTGAAGCATTTAGCGACTATCGGGGTGAGGGCCACTGGCCAATAGTCATTCAGACCAGTCACTGTAGAGCTCTTTGGGACTGGGATGATGGTGGCCGTCTTTAGGCAGGTGGGAATTGTTGCCAGGTTGAGTGAGGAGTTAAAGCTGGTCGTCACATTCTTTCAACACTTTCCCGTGGATTTTATCTGGGGCGGTTGTTTTGTGAGGGTTAATCCTCCTGAAACTACTCCTCACTTCTGCTGAGGTCACGCTGAGAAGCTCTACATCCGGTGGTGAGGTGAGTCTGGTGCTGGGTGGTCTGTTCGGGTCTTCATTGAGCCACGAGGACTCATTTACAAGAGAGACCTGTTTTAAACAACTGTTGGCGTAAATCGACTCACTCTATCCGCCCCAAAGTTCGTTGTTTGGTTTTACTGTGGATCAAGGAAGTAGACACTGAAACATGACAGACGCACTCTCTTTAAATTCAATAATCAAATTTAATAAATTAAATGATTAACAGTCACAGATTACTTTTGTATTTGATTAAATGTTAGTTAAAGTACAAAATAAAACATTGAATGCGCATTCAATGGAGACAAACGATACAACCTGTAAGAGTGATCTGAAGTCAGCCCTTGCTCTGCGTTGTCTGCTGAAAGAGGAAGTGCTGCTCAGCTATAGTCTAAATTAGGGCGGTGCTTGGTCAAGGCTTCTAGAATGTTCACTTGCTCAACGTGTATAGGGCAGTGACTCACTCTAGCTTCTAGAATATTCACTTGCTCAACGTGTATTGTGCAAAGTCCGGTTGGGTGGGTGCTGTCACAAATAAGAAACAGGAAGTATACTAGTCACACTTTAAGCTTTAGAAATTGTACAAGCAGAAACAGATTTTATTTTA